TTTTAGAAGAGATAAGAAGGGTGTCAAGTCGTACACATCAAAATGGGTTTGGTTAATTAATCAAAGCTGTAATGGTGGCTAGTTTCCAAAATCATGGTGGTCAATAGTAGCGTCTAGTAAATATGCAGCATAAATATGAACTACTTTGCAACCAATATATGCCAGCAGAACACAAGTCTAATAATTAATGGTTGAGGGACAAACCCATGCTTTGAGTATTGTTGCATGGGTTTCCCCTTATGTACCGTGTTCTGGTTCTGGAAGAATAATGTTAGGGAGTGCTGGTAACTGTGGGGACAAATACAGAAAGCTGTGATGTATGTTCCTCTACTTCACCAACTAGCTTGTGTACCTGCATCAGCATCTTCTGTAGTTCTGGAATGAAGTAGCCCACACATGAGTTGTAGAAGGAAAAAAAAGCACAACATCCTGACTACAAATGAAGAACTCCCATTATTAGGTTTCTTCAGTAATTTAGGGTAAATTGTGGTCACACTATACTAATTTGCTTCCTAATTTCATAAATTTAAAGTTTTTTTTTTAAGATATTATCAGTATGTTAGTCTTAAAGGAACACTCCACATGTTTTACACTATGTAAATACAGAGGGCTCAAGTTTTAAATAAGAAAATTATCAAAACTCTTTTGAACAAAATGCTAACAGTCAAATAAGATTCAATGAATTATGCTAAGCTAATAGTGACAGTGACAGAACAAGAAATTAGCAGAATAGTTTCAAATTCAGTTCAGGTTAACTACTTAACTCTAGGAGGAGTGTAACGTCGGGGAGTGACACAAACAACTGAGGTAAGATCCAAAAGCAGGTTTATTCGTAGTCAGACAAGCAATGGTCAATACAGGTGCAAACAGGTGTATGAGGACAATCCAGAATTGTAGTTGAAGTAACATGCCAGAGGTCATAAGGCAGGCGGCAGACAGGGAGGTTAACAAGGCTAAGGTCGGTACACAGGAGAACCAGACTAGGAACCGCGTTGTAGTGCTACTTACAGTAAACAGGACTCGGCAAACTGAATGAGTGAGTGTGTAGCCTTAAGGCTGATTTATACTTATGCGTCAAACACCGGCGTATGCTACGGCGCTGACGCATAGCCCATCGCCGTGGCCGTCGCCGTCACTGACGTGCACCTCTCAAAAATTGTAACTACACGTCGCAACAACGCGTAGCGCAAGCTCTGTGATTGGTCGGTTTGGTAGCGCCGACGAGTCTGGGCGGGACCGAGAGCCGCGCGAATGGCGCGAGCGATTGTTTACAAGTGTGGAGTCCCGTGAAGGAGCTCCGGATGGAAAGTTTTGTTCTTTGTTTACCTCATGGTTAAAGTTGTTGCACGTCCGCTGGTTCCTGCCTCAAAATGAGCGAGTTTGAGTCACTTGTACATCCAGGAAGTGTTCAGAATAGCAAAACAGAAGCGAAGAAACTCGACACAGAGGAACATTTACACCTCACTGCCCACTAGCGTTTCGGAAGTGTTAATGCAGACCAACGGAGACAGCGCGCAGAAGTATAAATGCCCAGCCACGCGCGTTGCATGCGCCGTGAGTTGCGCCGGTCACTTGACGCAGAAGTATAAACCAGGCTTTAACTAGTGTGTGCAATCAGTCTCTGACAATCCTCAGGTGGTGTGAGTGTAATCAGTCTAGATGAGGAGGCATGTGTGTCTGGGTGAAGTGCATGTATGAATATGTAGTCCAGAAATGGCGGAATTGTAGTCCATAAGTTATGGTGAGTGAGATCCGGCGATCTATGGAGTTATGATCGCTGGTGATTGTGACAAGGAGACTTAAAATAAAGGTGGGGTGTTCCTTTAAGGAGATCTATAAATAGTGTGATGTTCAAAACGGGGACAAAATTTGCATTTAAAGGATATAAACATTCAAAGGGCTCAAAGTACTGGGCTCACACTTCAGTTTCTCTTCAAATCTTCTGACCTATCAAATGCTCTCTAGTGTCCAACATGCCCCACCCACTTCAAGAGGCTTCTCGTTTGATGCACTTGATGTCCACTCTCACCAGCAGAGCTGTGATAAAATGAAATCCTATTGGCTGTATTTTATAAAGGAGAGGAGCTACTTTTATCTCACCCTGTTTTTCATGGTTCGGTTAAGATTACGTCAAACATCAAATGAAAAGTCATGACTTACATGACATTACATGACTTAACAAGTCTGAGGTGTCTCCAAATGAGTCAATATTTTCAGCAGATCATTAATTGTACCATGCTGCAGTGGCTAATTTTTTGAGCAGACAAAAACCTATTTCTGGGTGTATATTTAATGCAAATCTTCCTTTCTAGTTTGTTTTAGATACTCTTAAGACAAGACATTCGCTTAGTTTTATCATGTCTTCCACCTGTCCAACTGCTCGTTAGCACTCATTTTTAATCAGCCAATCACATGGCAGCAACTCAATGCATTTTGGCTTGTAGACATGGAAAAGACGATCTGCTGCAGTGCAAACCGAGCATCAGAATGGGGAAGAAAGGGGATTTAAGTGACTTTGAACGTGGCATGGTTGTTAGTGCCAGACGGGCTGGTCTGAGTATTTCAGAAACTGCTGATCTACTGAAACCTTGAGACGGATGGGCTACAGCAGCAGATGAGCACACCGGGTGCCACTCCTGTCAGCTAAGAACAGAAAACAGAAGCCACAATTCACACAGACTCGCCAAAATAGAAGATTGGAAAAACGTTGACTGGTTTGATGAGTCTCGACATTCGGATGGTATCGTCAGAATTTAGATTCAAAAACATGAAAGCATGCATCCATCCTGCTTTGTATCAATGTTTCAGGCTGGTGGTGGTGTAATGGTGGTGGTGGATATTTTCTTGAGACACTTTGGACTCATTAGTACTAATTTAGCATGGTGTCAACGCAACAGCCTACCTGAGGACTGTTGCTGACCATGTCCATCGCTTCATGACCACAGTGTACCCATTTTCTGATAGCTATATCCAGCAGGATTATGCACCATGTCATAAAGCGCGAATCATCAGACTGGTTTCTTAAACATGACAATGAGTTCACTGTTTCCAACTGGCCTCCACAGTCACCAGATCTCAATCCAATAGAGCACTTTTGGAATGTGGTGGAACGGGAGATTCACATCATTGATGTTTGTTATTCAGCTATTTTATAATCTGATCACATGCAGGAAATAGTACAGCATTTCTGAACAACCTACACAAACATCATCAACTTACCTCCCTATATATTATGACACCTTATCATAACTGATCATAATTATCATCTTTACAAGCCTTTTTGCCTTATATATTGTTTTACATCTGCACAACTCTGGCTTGCACTCACCGACATATGCCCTTAATGTCATTGTATTGTTTACAAATTTTTAATCTTTAGGTTTATTTTTAGACTACATTTTAGTAAAATTGTATTTATTGTAAATTCTCTCTAAAAACTCTACTTTTGTATTAATATTATATGTTAGGCACCTAGGGCAGGGGTGGCCCACCCTGTTTCTGGAGAGCCACCTTCCTGTAGAATTCAGTTGCAACCCATATCAAACACACCTGCCTGTAATTATCACCTGGGCCCGGTTTTTCAAAAGGTTTAATCCGGATAAAATTGATCCGGATTTAGTAATCCTGTTTTTGCGATCCGTGATCACGTAATCCAGCTTACTTTTTGAGCCAGTTTTTCAAAGCAACATCGGATTGGATCAATCTGATCCGGATAGGAACTTTTCAGGATCACTAAATCTGGATAACCAGTGCTCAAACAGGACAGGACATCACAATGTAGAACTATAGATATGTAAAGAGCGACAAGTAGAATAGCCAGCGTGGGGTCAATATAACTTTATTTTTATTTGAAATGAAAACTAAGAAAATTTAATAATTATTAAAATAATAATAATAATAAATAATAAAAACAAGAAAAACAACACCCCATCCTCTTTAAGCAGTCCACTCATCTGAGACCTACAACACTGTACATTGAGGATATTTATAATAAGTTTCAAATATAGATGTAAATAAAACAAAGACTTAATGTCAAAAACTCCACAGTAAGTTCAGACTTCCTCATCTAATGTGGAAAGAGCAGCTTGTTTCTCTGCCAGACGAAGCTGTGCTTCTGCCCTTTAAGTCTCTTTTTGCAGTTGTTGAAAGAGATTTAAAAAATCAGTCATTGCCATTGTTTGCATTTTTTTTTGTTATTCTGTAATCATTGCATGCATCACTAATAAATATTTTAAAAAGAAAAATATTTTTCATTGTGATGAATATATATATCAGTTAGTGAAAGAATAAAATTTATTGTTTTTGGTAAATTTTACAGCTGTTTGGGGGATTATTTTATGAGGCCAAACTCGTTCTACTTTGCTTGAGCCCTATACTGAAAGGCTGAATACGTTAAAGCCTATACTCACTATAACCTGACGGATGTACAAATAAAATTAAAACCTTATGAATAAATAGTAAATCTCGTAAGATACTGTATGATCCAAAAATAGTATTGTTTCATAAACTTGTAAAGTTTTTATTACATTTCGGGCATGAAATCAACGCTAAATCCACCCTTCTGATGGGATCAGTTTAATCCAGTTTTTTTGGATCAAAGTGATCCAGATCCTACAAAAAAGGTCTGAAAAACCCAAACTAAAGGTTTGATCCGGATCAAAACCAAGATTAGATTATGTGATCTAATCCGATTAGGTAATCCGTTTTTTCTTTTGAAAAACCCATTTTCAAGATTTGATCCAATCCCTTATCCAAAATCCTAGTGGATTACTTTTGAAAAACCGGGCCCAGGTGTTCAGGTCCTAATTAATTGGTTCAGGTGTGTTTGATATGGGTTGCAACTGAAACCTGCAGGAAGGTGGCTCTCCAGGAACAGGGCTGGCCACCTCTGCCCTAGGGTCTGAGAGTAATGTGATTTCGATTCTCTATATTTCCTGTACATGTGGTTGAATTGACAATAAAGCTGAAACTGAGGTTTAAACAACAGAAAACAGACTTTGTTACTTCAGTGAAACAAAAATTTATTGGTTACCGAAAATCATCCTAAATGACTTTTAAAACTAGAGCTCTGAGTGCAACGCACATTGAAAACAAGAGTTGAGTGTGTAAAAAACACACACTTTCAGTGGCACCTGTACAATATCTCATAGTTGAATAAATTAAAGGCAGGATTCTAGTCCTGATCTTCAAAATGGGTCAGAACACCAGCTGATCACCAGGGTGAATAAAGGTAGCATTAACACTATCGCCTATCAAACAAACACTTTGGTTATACCAGGGTGAATCACCATACTACACATTTAGCCTTAGCTAGCTTGTAGATGGGCAATTTTACTGCATTTATTAGGATGGCTGTACATGTATTTACACCTAATCCAGGGTTTAGTCCTCAGAGAGCAGCCTGTGGAAGTGGTCGGTTCTCTTCTTTAAAACATTTCTGAAGTCATCCTGAAAGCACACACACATACACAAATCGTTACTACAAAATACATGATTTATTCAATCAAACAAAGCCAAATTCCCTGACCATAACCTGACTTTCATTTCTTTCTTGTCGGCTAAGTCTCTTTATTAATCCGGGGTCGCCACAGCGGAATGAACCGCCAACTTATCCAGCAAGTTTTTAAGCAGCGGATGCCCTTCCAGCCGCAACCCATCTCTGGGAAACATCCACACACATTCACACACACACTCATACACTACGGACAATTTAGCCTACCCAATTCACCTGTACCACATGTCTTTGGACTGTGGGGGAAACCGGAGCACCCGGAGGAAACCCACGCGAAGGCAGGCAGAACATGCAAACTCCACACAGAAACACCAACTGAGCCGAGGTTCGAACCAGCGACCTTCTTGCAGTGAGGCGACAGCACTACCTACTGCGCCACTGCCTCGCCCTAACCTGACTTTCATTGCCCAAAATGCTGAATTTTCATGACATCTAAAATAACGTATAATTAACGGAAAAACAGGCCTTTATACAAGTTTATTCATTTTCTTGTCGGCTTAGTCTCTTTATTAATCTGGGATCGCCACAGCGGAATGAACCGCCAACTTATCCAGCACATTTTAACGCAGCGGATGCCCTTCTAGCCGCAACCTATCACTGGGAAACCCGAGCACCCGGAGGAAACCCACGCAAACGCAGGGAGAACATGCAAACTCAACCAGCAACCTTCTTGCTGTGAGGCGACAGCACTACCTACTGCACCACTGCGTCGCCCCTTTATACAAGTTGTGCTTGTATATTAATAATAAACTATTAAAATAATAACAATATTTAAATGGGTTTAGCTTGAATATAATTTTGCACAACTTTAATTGTACTATGAGAAATTTGTCATTACTTTAACATCCTTTAAAGTGTAAATCTGAAGCTGTAAAGTTTCTTAACCACTTAAACTCTGCTGCGATTTGGGGATTTCCGTCTGGATTTTGCCTACCCAAATTTAAAAGCTTCCCAAATCCACATAAAAAGGTGTAAATGCAAAAATGTGGTATCATTTTAAAGAAAACCCTTTGAATTTTCATAAAACACTATTGAAAGCGTTTAAAATAACTGTATATGTCGTCTGTGTTATAATAAACACCTAAAAAAAGAGGCGCTTTTTGTATTTTTTTTTTATATAAACTCAAATTTGAAAGTGTACCTTTTAGGTTCTGTGTGGTCTAGTGTGCTGTAATTAATTTTGGTGGTTCCTGCACATGTCTGTAATCATAGGAAAAAAGAAAAATGTCTCCACCATAATCTATGCAAACGTTATTGCACTCCAACTGATGAGAGGTGCTGTACAAGCCACAGAGACTGATCCTTGTTTACATATTTCACTATTCTTTTGTTTGATCAAACATAATTCAATGTGTTTGGACCACATCAGACATATAAAAGGATTACTTATGCACATCACCTCAAAAACAGAGGAGAATGGCCCTGAAGCACACAGCATAAGGTAAGAGAAGACAGCTGTCTGTGCTATCTGGGGCTGCTTATTGATCATGAATGTATTGTTTACATTTCCGCGCCATGGAAACACCACAATTCATTCAACAACTGTTTGGCATAGGAATATAATTCAGTAAAAAGAATGCTGGAACTGTATGAGCACCGGCAAGAGTTTTCATTTGAGCTATAACTTCTACATGTGTCATATAAAGAAATATGAAAATTAACCGATGTAAAATACCCAGCTCGGGTCTCCAAACTACTGTGTATTTAAGTGTAAATAACTTTTATACAGTAGAATTACGGGGGTCTGGTGCAACGCTAGCCCTTTAAATCTGAAAGCGAAAGTCGATGATGTCACTGACCCGATACCGGGTCCGCAGAGTTTAAGTGGTTAAATTTATATTATCCTGTCATGTCAGCCCTAAAGCTGATTTATACTCGACGTGTTGGCTAGTTTTTCTTTTTTTTTTAATACAAGAACGATACATACAAAATGCCAGAGGTGTGCAAAAATATAAAAAGCATAATAAAATTATATGAAGCTACAAAAACTCAAAAAGGTAAAACAAAATGAAATTACAAATCAAGAAAAAAACATTACAAATAATGCCAGGCCTTGTAACTTACAATAATTTAAAAGTGTCAAACAAATACGCAGTTTTAACACCTTTTTTGTTTGTACAAAATAGTATTTATATAAATATTTTGTTCTTTAAGTACCACTAAAAAAAAAAAAAAAAAAAAAAGGTTTCTGATTGCTAAATTTACATCGATGGATATGAAGCTTGGTAAGTATAGTCAAAAGATTAATAACATAAGCTTCATTTTCCAATTTCTTATCATAGTTCCAAAAACCAAAGATAACATATTCATACAGGAAAAGAAAACACAAGCTCAGAATTTCCCACATTTAGTTATGGCTGTACTCTTACTAAAGAAAAACTAAGTAAATGCATAACACACATGCTATAATGCATATGAAAGAACTGCCTAAATGTTAATAGTTTAAAACACCCACCGCGTGGACTAGTTTCTCCATGTATGGAATGAGCTTTTGCAGCTCACGGTCCTCTTGATCTCCAATCCAGCTCTTTATAGGAATCATATTCATCAGCTGGAAACAGCAAGCATATATTATTAGACCTGATATTCAGCAGACCTCTTCATATAGAGATGAGTCCTGTACAGTCGATAAGGGCAAACATACGTGGTATGGGAAAGTGTGAGGGGCGTTGTCCAGGATGACCGTCTTTGACAAGTCTCTTTCTAGAATGGTCAAATCTTTAATGTAGTGTCCAAGCACACAGGCGCAGTCGTCCTGATACAAACGATGCCTTCAAACACAATAAAACTACATGATTACACCAGAAAGGCAAAGCTTTGACTAAAAGTATAAACTTAGGTGTTGACAGCACATTAAAGCCACTCCAGCCACATTATTTTCATTCTCACATTATTCACATGAACTGTAAGGACGTGTTATATTTACAAAATGTGTCTTGAATTTAGTGCTATGAACTTTGTTACAGAATATTTGATCAAACATACAGTTGAATTACTCTGAAAGATTGCAAGTTTTGTACATTGAACTGGATAAATAAGGCTAAGATCAACACACGGGAAAACAAGACTAGGAGAACGCGTTGTAATGTCACTGATACAGCTAACAAGACTCAGCAACAGTGATGCTACGTTCACGCCAGACGCGGAACGCGCATCAAGCGCGAGTGATTTACATGTTAAGTCAATGCAAACGCGCAAATAGATATCCTGCGTCAAGATACGCGCGAATGACGCAAATTGCGCGAGGCGAATTGAGCGTTTTGCGTGTTTGACGCGCTTAATGAGCGTTTCGCGCGAATCTCTCGAGTTCGAAAATCTGAACTTCAGCGTATGTTCGCACCGCGTTAACCAATCAGAAGCTTGCTCTTGTGGGGGCGTGATTGTGACGTAGAACCTGTTGTCAGTGTTCCGAGAGAAATCCTCCAGCCTTCACCGACAACAATTCATCAAACTCGGCTTGGCTCATTTAGAAGCACCGCTGAAAGCCTCGGTCATTCAGGTTAAGTTTCTGGAGGAGTTTATGACTCACAGAGCTGGATGCACCTCTGAAAGGACGTAGTGGACTCAGACACGACCCTAAATGCATCGACGCTGTTTTTCAGTCTTCATAAAGCACATAAACACTGTTATTTTCTTCTTAAAATCTATGTTAACCATTTAGCTATGAAGCTAAAGTCTTCAGGCAGACAGAAGCCCTGCCCATCACGCGAATCCGCGTCTGTTCTGAAGTGATTTTGACACGCGAATGAAGCAGGGTTTGACGCGCAAATGAAGCAAGTAAACTCAAATGTTCACGCGGCTATTTACGCGCGAATAGCGCGATTTATCCGCACGTTCCGCGTCTGGTGTGAACACAGCATGATTGTTTCTGTGCTGTTTAAGTAGTGCAGTAATCAGTCTAGAAGCAGGATCAGCTGTGAGAGTCTAATCAGTGGAGACTTGGAGCAGGTGTGTGTGTGTGGCATGACTGAATATGTAGTCCATTTATAAGCAGATTTGTAGTCCTGTGTGTGTGTGTGTGAGTGTTTACCAATGACCTCTGGTGGTTTGATCACTGGTGATCATGACAAATAGGCTTTGTGTAGGTCTACTGTTGGTTAAAATGCTGAATGTTGTATAGACTTGGAATGGTGGACTTGAACAGACTTTAGATTTGTCCTGGTCATTAATTCTGATGATAATTCTGATGTTGAATTGTGTTTGACACATATGCTCAAAATTTTCTGCTCAAAATTTGACACTGACGTCAATTTCGTGAATACAGAAGACTGAGTGGGTATTTTTGCATTTCGGCGATTTTTGGATACTTTTTGGGCTGGAATCAGTCAGCTACATCTGGCAACACTGCGTGCGCTTTCGGTTACATTTTCACTGCTAAGAGTGGTTCACTTCCTGCGCAGCTCCCAAACAATCACTCTGCCACAAAGTGAATGTTAATTACAACTTTATTACCTGTTATTCACAGCCTATGCATGTTGTTGACTAAAGTAAACTTCATTCAGAGGCGTGCGCTCGCCCTCTCTGTGGTAACAGCTGACGGTCAGCTCACGTCACGTGTGATTTTGCGGTCGCAAATACATTACATGAAGACAGAAATGACATTTTTGGAGTGAATTATATCTTATTACAGCATGCGACTCTTTCAACACCATTTGGAGGTGTCCACGTTGCTGAACAACATATGTAAAACAATGTGAAGACTTGTGCGGCCACCACTGCTTCTCTCCTGAACTTGAAAATATGATTGACGGAATTGTAGAAATGCTGGATTAAGATCGTCTAGGCGGGGGTCGAAGCGAGATCGCGATCTTTTTACGATTAATTGTGCAGCTTTAGTATAAAGTATTTATAAAGCAAGTTTAATAGGTTTTGTTTCAGTATAAACATTTCACAAGGTTATTTTGCAGTTATTAATCAGGGAAAGACTACATAAAAGCCCCTTTCACACAGTGATACCGGTAAATATCTGGAAAATTTCCGGAAAGAAATTAAAAAAAAAAAAAAAAGCGCTGTTCACACAGGCGAGGACGTTACGGAAATTTTCCGGAAAAGAGCATTCACACATCCATTCCAAAATACCGGTAAATTCTGACATCATTCACCACAAATGAGCTTTAAACAGCTGGGCTTGTATTTGTAAACATTTTACTAAATTACAAACTCTGTGGATGATCAATATTGTGAATATGTGCGTGTGCAGGCGCTCACAGGCTGTTTCACAGGCACACGCAAAGCTTGAAGGTAAACAAACAACGGCTTTTCATAAGCATCTCATCGATGATTACTTACACAGTTGGCATTAAGAAGAACATATAAACGTGATCTGACTAACTTCTAGCAGCTAAATGTGTCTGGAAAAATATTCAAAGGCTTTTATTCTCACAAACCGCGCGGATGTGAATGCGTCTGACTGTTGTGATTGGCTAAAGCAGACGTCTCACGTCAGCACGTTCTAGACGTGCACGCGCTTATTACGGCAATCTTGCTTCTGCATTCACACAGCGCAGCATTCTGGCAAATTACCGGTAATGTTACAACTTCTCTTTCCGGAAAATAGCCAGAACGAATTTACCGGTATTTTCAAAAAGGACCTGTTCACACATACAGACCTTTCCGGAAAATTGCCGGCAATTTTCCAGAAAGGTCTGTATGTGTGAAAGGAGCTAAAGAAATGTGGTCAACAGAGACACATTCATAAGTCTCCCTCGTCTATTTGTGATTTGAATTAATCGTAATACCAGTTGTAAATAGGGTGTTTACAAGAGTTTTGAGACAGGTTTGCAGATACTAGGCTGAGAAATATATGCATGAAAAGGTCTTACCTGAAGAGCTTTTTATTAGGGTCCAAAATATCTACAATCTTTTCTGCATACTCCTTTTTTGCAGACGTATAAACAAACATCTGGAACAGGAAAAAACCTAGATTACAATGTTCAGCAAATAATTGATAACATTTATGTGATTCGATTGTGGTTAAGAGGAATGAAAATATTAAATTATGGAAAAGTAAAAGAAAAAAAGCACATGAAAAAAGGAAGTTATTTACATGTGTCATTATCTTTGGTCTCTTTGTATTGAGCATAATGTTTATTAAAGAACACTATTTTATTTTGATTTGACAAATGAAACTCTTGCCTATTGACCAAACTCCCAAACACTATTGTTTGACCACTCGCTATTTTTAATATTAATAAATTAATAAAAAAAGATATTAAATAAATGAAGTCACACAGAAAGCATCTATTAGGTCTGAATATAGGAGTTAATTTCTATTTAAATCAAGTGCCATGCAAATGTTTAGTGCAATATGTATTTTCTCTAGTGTGAACAGGGGCCTGTACCATGAAGCCAGATTAGCTGGCTAGCCAGTTTCAGTTTAGTTTGCACCAACACTGTTTTTAAAGGTTCAAGAAATCCTCGAGTACTTTTTTTGAGATTTTAGCAGATTTGTGTGTGTTGGGCATCACTTAAGGCAATGTTAGCATCTGTCAGCTTTAAATGTGAAGTAAACTGGATAATTTGAGCTTTTGTCAGCTGATTTCATCTTCCAGGTTTAAAATGATTTTTGGGGCAAAATCGGTGACGTAGCACAAAACTGCAAGTGCAAAGATGACGCGTCGGTTTCTCATTATTATTCATAGCAGAGTTTTCTTATCCTATGACAAGAGCCGGCTTCTTAATTATTCATGACTGCATGTGCTTTTCGAAAGCAAGGCAGCAGTGCCAAGCTGTGAGACCCTTTGTTGATGACTGGGTAAGATGCGTCCACGGACCCACGGCACACAGTATTTAGTTGTTCATGAAGGGTCGTATGTGTTTGTTTCCGTGATCCACGGGGCTTGTTGCATGTTTTTCCCCATGATGCTGTCAGGGCCAATACAGCAAAGCTGTATGTATGCAGCAAGCTTTTTTGTCGGGAGAGCAGAACGAGAATTGGAGAATGGCGGATGTTGTCTTTTATCAGGAGTTCGTTCACATTTAGACACATAGCCGTGCTGCTGTGTTCGGCTAAATCGTCTAGATTACCAGCAGGGCTAATGGTTAAAATAGACAAGTCAAGAGACCTGCTGCACTGAGTCTGCATTCAGACCCGGGGATTGAGGGAGAAGTCCTCATTTTATTATCTTTATAATGATATAAATTGTGGTTATGTGTATATGAAATTACAAATAACAAATGTAACAGGGCATTAAATAACTGTTTATTTATTTGCGTTTTAACTTGGTAAACTATAAATTCATGCGTCTCCTCACGGTTTGTCTCATTTTGTTAACGACTGACAACAGTCGTTCGCTCCCCTGGTTCTCCCCTGCTCTGCTGGCCACGCCCACTCCTGCCTCTGATTGCGGAGCTCCACGCCCATTATGATGCTTTTTTTTTTTATTCTGAGGTAGACCTGAACTGAAAGCAGAGGGGGGGGGGGGGTTTCATAGCCCTTTAAGGTACCATGAAGTTCACCTACTTCATAAAACCATGGCAACAAAAAGTGATTAAAAAAGCCTTCGTGTTATCAAATACCCAAGATTGGTGCAAACTAAACTGAAATGAAGAGGCTAGCCAGCTATTACCGCTTCATGAAACAGGCCCCTGGTCTCAAAACCTCAAGCAAATCGCAATGTTTACCTCAAAATGTTTTGTCATGGCTTGTAGAAACTCTCTCACATGTGGTCTGAGGATTACGTAGACCTGCGAACAGAATCAATTGACACTTCATGAACTGCAGTATTTCAAAAACACTTCCATGACACTAGCAGGAAATGAACCACTGATTCAGCAGAGAACTGGGATTATTAAAAATATGATTTTGAACAATAATTAAACGCGTTACAAACCTTATACTTGTGGTCTTGAAAGCGTGTATTGAAGGTGTATTCTGCATCAGGGATCACATTGAGTGAACTGAACACCAGGGTTTCATCCTAAGATAGAAAAATGTACAAATAAATAACAGGGAGGCAACAAGATGAAAAATCTGTGACGAAACTGAAAACTCTGAATGCACTTGGCTGAAAATTAAATACTTTGTTTTTTTTTTAAATATATAATTATAATTACTACAAGTAATTTTGTAAGACTTTACATTTATATCAATAACAGAAATTATGCTGATTTTAAAAAACACAAGCAAATAAAATATATATTTTTTATAATAATCCTGAAAGTAACAATAACAACGGAAGATAATCTACAATTATTAAACACTTGGCCTTTACAATACCCATACACCATGAAACATTTAAAGAGTCACTATTATGCTTAATAAAAAACATAGAATAGAGCCACCATAAAGAGATTTAGCAGATGGTTGTCATACAAAGACCCACACGATCAAGAGGACGTCAATGAGTCAAAGACACAAGACTGATCCCAAACACAAACCTCAGAAATGAACGGGTTTACTTGGATCTCTTCTGGCTATTCTAAACACCTGAATACTACAATAGCTTATATGTGCACTAGCTTATATGTAACTACACTAGGTATGGGACGATAACCGGTTTCAAGGTATACCGCGGTTTGGAAAAGTCAAAATTTTAAAACCGCCAACATTTTCTGTAGTACTGTTCCTAAGATATGTGCAAGTTTTTTTAATGTTTATTTTTTTATTTTGTTTTTTAGGACAAAACTATCTTCGGCAGAAATATTATCCAAAGATGCCGTTTTAAATTGTATAGAAATCTGTGCAGAATCCAGCAGAACTCACTGATTTCTTTTAAATTATTTAGCCTGACATGTTTACTGTTCCAAAATATTATACATTTTCACTCATTCATTCATTTTCTTGTCGGCTTAGTCCCTTTTTTAATCCGGGGTCGCCACAGCGGAATGAACCGCCAACTTATCCAGCACATTTTTACGCAGCGGATGGCCTTCCAGCCGCAACCCATCTCTGGGAAACATCCACACACACACATACACTACTGACAATTTATCCTACCCAATTCCCCTGTACCGCATGTCTTTGGACTGTGGGGGAAACCGGAGCACCCGGAGGTAACCCACGCGAACGCAGGGAGAACATGCAAACTCCACACAGAAACACCAACTGAGTCGAGGTTCAAACCAGCGACCTTCTTGCTGTGAGGCGACTGTACTACCTACTGCGCCACTGCTTCACCCCTATTATATATTTTTTCAAAAAATAAAATATATTGAGTTCAAAGAGGAAAAAAAAGCTTTTGTTTTTTACTCAGACATTTAACAGGAATATATTTTAGAGCTGTAATCACAATACTGTGATACCGTGAAACCACATTTTTATCCGAGGTTATCATAACAGCAGAATCTCATCCCGGCTCATGCCTAAACCACACTAGCTTACATGTCCCACAAACTGAAATCTTGCCAATGCTTTTCATGAAAACCTCAAAATTTCGTCAAAATCTTTTTCATTTGACACAACAAACAAAACATTATAGAAAAAAGTGACTTGACCTCAACTTTATTTACATAATCGATGATGCATCAGAAAGGTATGGTGGTCCATTCTCTCTCAGCGGAGAGTATTGGAGGTTTATGGTTCCTTCCACTGACTTCCACTTAGTTTGACATGAAAATTCAGTCAATAAACCGCAAATTAGTGCTGCACAACTGTGGGTAAACTGAGATTTCTGTTTGTTTGTTTAAAATAAAGATCACGATTCCTTCATGAATCCGAATAGACGAGTTAATATAAATGATTTACAAGAGGTAACAAAAAACTACATATTACTGACTTCACATGGATAAATCAGGAATTATTTTTAATAGTTTCATCAAATAAAATTGTAATGGTATTTTGTCACCAACTTTTGGTGTAACCATGTAACTGCCACAAGCCTTATTTAAGATTTGAGTTCAATCTGTGATTTGTTTGAACAGTAGCCATCATAGTTTATTTCCTAGTAGTTATCACAGTACTTCTCTGACTATTTCAATACTTTTAACCAGACATAAATAACATTACATTGAAAAGACTGAAGCAGTCCACTCCAAACACTTTCACTGGGTCATACAGAGATTTGAATGTACAGTTGTGATGGTCAATTGTTTAACAAACATAATTTAAGCTGTCTAGTAAGAAAATAACCAACCAAATCCAGCACCAGGGTGGCAGCAGGTGTGCTCCTCGTCTTTGGTGGGATGTCCCGCACTGCAGACACCGGCCTGGACTGTTGGGAACGGTTGGGAATGTTTTTGATAAATGTGAAACTGAAGGGAAAACAGAGACATTTCAGATTAAATCATAAATATGTTTCTTCAATCTGTCAGAAGTGCACACGAGATAAAAATCGTTTGTAGGAGAGACTCACGGACTAAACACTTCCTCATTCTCTTCGTCTTCTGAAAGAGGACTGGCAGCACTGTAACCAAACACACGGTGTTCAGGACTGAAGAGGGGACCAGTGTTTGGCTGCTCACCTGTTAAAATAAGTAATGGCTGTTACATCAAGCAGAACATAACCAGAAGAAATCAAAAATTAAGAAGAGAGCAGCAAACTTCTGGTGGCTGAAAGTTCTTATTCATAAAAAAAAAAAAAAAAAGCAAGAACATACTCACACACGTATGTATGTATGTATGTATGTATGTATGTATATATATATATATATATATATATATATGTGTGTGTGTGTTTATATAAACACACATATACATATACACACACGTTTGTTTTTGTGAAAAGTGGGGACATTACATAGGTTTCCATTCATTTTATACTGTCCATACCGTACATTATATTGACCTCACCCCACCCCACCCCTAAACACAACCATCACAGGAGTCAGTGTGCAGCTTTACTCTCTGATTAAACTCATACTGTAGGATTTATAAGCATTTTGAGAAATGAGGACGTCACCAAACCAATGTCCTCATATTTCCCCTCCTTTTCGTAATACCTGTGTCATACCCATGTCATTATACAGATTTGTGTCCTGATATGTCACAAAAACATGTACACACACACACACACACACACACACACACACACATACACACACACACACACACACACACACACACACATACATATATTTAAGTGACCTTAAAATGAAGCTTAAAAATGAAAAACTGCTTTTGTTCTGGCCAAAATAAAACAAGACTTTCTCTAGAAGAAAAATATTATCAGACATGCTCTGAAAATTTCCTTGCTTTGTTAAACATAATTTGGGAAATATAAAAAAAAATCTAAGGTCTTCTGACTTCAACTGTACAGACAAAAATCTGCAGATTTTCTGCACTCGCAGATTCTGTGTGGGCCTACTTATTAAAACACATTAAAAGTCATTATTGTTTTATTAAATGAAGTTAATGACTAATAAAACTCTGTTGCATTTTTTTATAAAATTTATCATGTTAAATATGTTCACATTAAAGAGACCCAATTGTAAAGTGCACCTAATGTAATTTTACCTTTTACAAATTGAATTTGTTTGAAACATTTACTCTGAACGTACTGTATACATAATAAAACTTTTATTGTTACATTTTGTTGTTCTACCCGTTAAAGTAGTCTTTTTTTTCAGTTTAAGTCAACATCGTGATAATTCTGTATACCATGTTAAAAAGTTTCAGCAATTAATCGTCTAAACAAAAATATAAAATAACCAATTTAGTCCTATTTTAGTCATCTTTTAAAGCTAAACCTAATGTTTAAAAAGGGTAAAGACAAACATTTTATTATGGAACTTACTGGGCATCAAAAACAATGGTGTGTGTGTGTGTGTTTGTGTGTGTGAGTATACTGGGCTAAATGGTAACAGCATGTTACGGTATTTTTGTCAGCTGAGAATGCATGAAGAACTAAAAAATGTTATGCTTGCATCTTGTGACATGTTATGTTTTTAGTTTGTCAAGATGTCTTTGGCCTGTCATGTATATGTATTATAGTCAAACTGCACTAGAGATCATTTGGAGGAGAACAAGACTCGCCTTTTCAATAGTCTATTTCCACTTGTTTAGTGAGCACTAGCGTTCAGATGGCCGCATTTAAATAAACCACACGATCAGAGGAAACTCATCAAAGTCTGTTTTAATCAAACCAAACATGTATGATCACCCTAACATGTCTAATGTCTCTTCTGAGACTTATAATTCATTCCATAAGCTACCTTTACCTCATACCACCATTAACATGACACCACATGGCTGTGGTAATTGTATTTCACCTTTATCTCAAGTTTAATTGACTACATAGAGTTATCAATGTAACTGAAACAGCTGAAGTGAGCACATGACATTTGAGGCCACCGTGTAACTAAATTAAAGGGAACAAACTAGTACATCATTGGCATGATTTAACTAAAATCAAGGAACTAATTAAACGCTTGGAACAAATTCTGAACTCGAGACTGTAATATCTATGTGAAGCGCATGCTTCTGTACTAATGATGACCGCTAAATATGTTGGCTAAAAAATTTAAGCTCAAGACTAAAATAATGTATACTTTCACTTATTTTGGCACTTCATAAGCATAACAGTTTAGGTCTTTAATTAAACATTTTACATTCAATTTTTCTTTTATTTTAGACTTAATTCCACTACAGTCTTTCACAGACTGAAAAATGACCAACAAACAATGACTCAAATACTAAGGGCCCTATTTTGATGGTCCATGCGCAGAGCGCAAAACGCAGGGCGCAAACGCTTTCAGGGCGTGTCAGGACGCGTTTTTGCTAATTTAAGGACGGAAAATCTGCCTTGCGCCGCGGCACATGTTCTAGAAGGGTTGAGTTTATTTATTGAGTTATAGGTGTGTTTTGAGAATAAACCAATTAGAATCTCATCTCCCATTCCCTTTAAGAGCCAGCTGCGTCGCGCCAAGAGCGCATTCACTATTTACAGAACAGTTTTTTTTTTTTTTTTACAGAAAACTGTTAAACAGAGCATCTACTGCGTGAGAATAAGAGATAATGGATCTACTTTCACTTTCGCTCTTGGATAGGGAAACCTTTACGCACAGACATCAATTAGTCTATAAATAAATACTTTTGTTTGTTAAGCGCAAATATTCAAAACTATTTCTAAATTCAGTTCTAATTTCCAGCAAACTAATAAATGAATAATAATAACAAATTGTGCTCAAAAACCTGAGTTATATCCTAAAACACATGCTGTGCCCCATATGGTCTAAAACCTGACAGGTGGGCAAATCTAAGCTTGTTTTTAATAAAACAAATATAAATATGGATATAATAAATAATACTGCTAATAATAATAACATTATACAAAAGCAAATTGTTATGAATGAACTGAAAAAGCCTCCCGAGATGAAGAAGACATAAATAGATGATAAGAAAATAATATGTTTTGTAATATTTTAATCCTTTATATTTATATTCTATATCTATTCTTATTATATACAATATATATCCTTAATACTTACATTTTTTCATATGTAAAGATATTTGCCTATTGCTCTCTTGTGCGTATTAAGCAGTGTGTAAGCGAGGCGCAACTCTGCGCCAGAGTTTAGACCGGGTTAGTTTTGGTCTAATGAAAAATCTATTATAGTTTCTGAAAATAGCAACGCGTCAGCAGTGCACCTCAGTACCCCTTCCTTTTTATACCAGAACGCCTATGGGCGCACAAATGAGCGCTAATGCATTTGCTATTTAAACAGCGTAGCGCAACGCCTCAAAACGACTCTTGCGCCAAGCTGAAACTAGCAAAAGACTATTGCGCCGCGCCTTGCGCCGCGCCTTGCGCCACACTGCGCCGTGTGTATGATAGGGCCCTAAGCCTTATAATAATCCCAAAAAAAATCAAAGTAAAATAAATCAGCATACAGTACAACCTAGGCATGCTCATTTGGGTTAATTTTGCTAACCAACAACCGCCGCTCGTAAATCTGTTATTAATGGTTAACTGGTCAGATTTTCTTGTCGGCTTTCATTTCTTTCTTGTCGGCTTAGTCCCTTTATTAATCCGGGGTCACCACAGCGGAATGAACCGCCAACTTATCCAGCAAGTTTTTACGCAGCGGATGCCCTTCCAGCTGCAACCCATCTCTGGGAAACATCCACACACACACTCATACACTACGAACAATTTAGCCTACCCAATTCACCTGTACCGCATGTCTTTGGACTGTGGGGGAAACCGGAGCACCTGGAGGAAACCCACGCGAAGGCAGGGAGAACATGCAAACTCCACACAGAAACGCCAACTGAGCCAAGGCTCGAACCAGTGACCCAGCGACCTTCTTGCTGTGAGGCGACAGCACTACCTACTGCGCCACTGCCTCGCCTAAATTCATACAGCTCTGGATAACTTGAAACGGCAAGCGCTAGTCTCTCCTACGTCTTTAAACGTTGATTGCGGCTTTTAGTAAACCATTCAAAAGATGCCCCTCTTAACGCAAAAAGCTCATTCAATCATCCCCTTATGCAGCCAAACAAAAAATATATCAAATAATATTTTTTAATCGTTTAACTGATACTATTAATCGGTTACAAACGCACACTTTCGGTTAACGGTTAATCGATTATTTTGAGCATCCCTGGTACAACCACATCAACCATGCATGAACTTTGTAAGGCATTAAATAAAACTATAATTATTCAACAAATAAAGTAAACTATAATCCATCTAACAACATTAAAATACTTTTATTCTAACACTGTTAAATGTAAAAGGAGCACAGATGCTTAAAGGTTAAAAGAGTGTGCGTGTACTTACGGTCTCTTGGGGGGGTGAGAAAGTGAACTGCAGGAGAGTAAAGGCTCCGAGCGGCTGGATTCAATGAGGAATGTCTTTCCCGGAGGTGATGGACTGGAGTCTTGAAACCTGACTCTTAAAACACAACAGCAAGCATGATATTCTTTCCCTGCGCAGCATGAATTATGCAGGCCTAGACAGTCTATTGAAGTACAAACCTTTTCTTCATCTGAAAGTTTATGGAAATATTGTATACAGTAAAATGTAGCATTCATGAATTTATGGTTACTTTTTTAGCAACTGGTTAACACTGACAATATCCATATGTTCTTACAAATTCTATACAATAGCCCCTTTCACACAGTGATACCGGTAAATATCCGGAAAATTTCCGGAACGACTTTACCGGTAAATTCAAAAAAGCGCTGTTCACACAGGCGAGGACGTTACGGAATTTTTCCGGAAAAGAGCATTCACACATCTATCGCAAAATGCCGTTAAATTCTGGCATCATTAACCAGAAATGACCTCTAAACGGCTGCGCTTGTGTTTGTAAACATTTGACTACATTACAAACTCTTTGGATGGATTAGTATTGAGTACAACTCCAATGAAAACATAGAGAAACACTTTTGCATGTCGAGATGTTCATGATATGTGTGTGTGCTGGCGCTATGGGCGCTCACGGGCACACGCAAAGCTTGAAGGTAAACAAACAACGGATTATGATAAACATTTTATAGATAATTATTTACACAGTTTGCATTAAGAAGGAACATATAAACGTGATCTGACTAACATCTAGCAGCTAAAGGTGTCTGGAAAAATATTCAAAGGCTTTTATTCTCACAAACCGCGCGCACGTGAATGCGTCTGACTGTTCTGATTGGCTAAAGCAGACGTCTCACGTCAGCACGTTCTAGACGTGGACGCGCTCTTTCCGGCTATCTTCCTTCTGCATTCACACAGCGCAGCATTCCAGCAAATTGCCGGTAATGTTACAACTTCTCTTTCCGTAAAATAGCCAGAACAAATTTACCGGTATTTTCAAAAAGGGCCTGTTCACACATACAACCTTTCCGGAAAATTGCCGGTAATTTTCCGGAAAGGTCTGTATGTGTGAAAGGGGCTAATGATACATTGATTATGATACTATTAATACAAATTCTCATCAGTTTTAAATATATGTTATGTTTCAATTTGGTGTGGTTTGCAATATTTAATAATATATATGTTTAATTTATTAAAGGTGTAAATGCTCCAGTAGCCTGATTAATAGAGCTGTGAACCTACACTAGTCTCACGGTTCGGTTCGGTTACGATTATCATGTCATCGATTCGGTTCAATTCGATATTTCGGTGCATCACGGTGCGTCGACGATGCTTTTATATTTTCTTCACAGCAGCAGCTCTTGTATTAAAATGTATGAATATATTTATATTTATATAGGCTATTATTTGTAATACAATTGTGTCATTTAATACAAACAGTCAGATATATAAACTGTAACTTTAAAAAACCCAGCATTTAGCAAATAATACAAACAAATATAAATATCCAGCTCAATTTCTGATCCTTGTCTAGTTCTCTTACACATTTTTGATTGGTTACACCCTCAACAAAAACGGTTGCGATTGGCTCTTGCGCGCTGCGCTCTTCAGATGAATGATAAGCGGCAGGCGGCGATCTCACAGCTGATCTATGATAGACACGGTGGAGAAAACTCTGCAGACACGCGCTCGTTTCTGTATCCAAGAGTAACGCTGTAAAACAGCCGAGAGGAAAAGAAAAGTCACCCCAGCAGGTCAAATGGGCCACTGTGTGTGTGTAAGAAAGAGAGAGAGACAGAGCAAGAGCGAGCGAGAGAGAAAGCGAGAGAGAGAGATGGGGTAGGCTACTTTCATTCTCAAACACACACAGTGAAATTGTGCACAGTTCATGAGTATTAAGTAGTTAGAGCGTTGTAAATACTCGCAATCGTCTTCCTCGCGACAGAGCGCATATGAGGTAAATGACGTCAGTAATAACCAGTTATGATTATTACTGAACCGATACCGAATTGTCCGCGTCTGCATCGCGGTGCATTGAAGAAACGATTATTTTTGACACCCCTACTGATTAAAGACAGCAGTAATCAAAACTGATTTACCCACACATCCACTCATTATGAGAAGTTTTTTACAAGGATATTTTTATAAAACAACAAAAATTCTACAGATTAAAACTGAGTACATATTCTGAGCGCATTATAATCGCCAAATCTAATGATTTACCTTTATTCACAACAGCTGATAAAGCTTTTCTTCTCCTCCGTGGACGTTTGGATGCTGTTGGGACATCATCAGGGTCCAGATTTGAGCAGTCTTGAAGAACCTCTGGGTCATCCTAATGCAAGTACAAGCAAGAAAGACAGATGATAAGCCTGCGATGGTACATCCATGGAATTTGATTGCAATTAAAAATATAATACAAAATGTTAAAGTTTAGGTTTGGACTTAAAAACAAAACATAAATCATTAATACAGAGTCAAATTTAAGCACTTCCCATATGGATTTTCAAACTTTTTCATAAAAATGACACATTTACATACTTTATTACATTATGTCGGATGGTGTTTGTTAGAGTAGTATATTATACAGAACACTATCAGGAAAGTTTTTACAGAAGGTTTGCCTCAACACTGAATTACTGTCATCTACTCTCCTAAATGCCATTATTTGCTCACATCTTGAATGTGTAATTTAATTTTCCTCTTAAATTTATTTTTATTTTAAATTCATCCATTGTTTACAAATGAGGTGGTGTTCTCAAAGCATTTTGATTTCTCCCACTGTTTATGCAAAGGGTCCAGAAAAAATAGTACACCGAGAAAAGATGTTTGCTGTTTGTTCAAACTACTTTTTAAAAATGAGTTAAAGCAACTAATTACTTTCTACTAATTATATCAATAATTTACACTATTTTAGACCTTTTATTTTACGTTCACATCAGTTATTTTTTTAAGTGTCCAATTTAATTATTAATACCCATTCATTAACAATTAAAAAGCACTTAGGGCAAAATATATGCATTTTTAAAACGAGAAAACACTATATTATTAAACTAAACTATTTTCAAGGATTTCCAGGACCCATACAAAACCTGTTAACTGCATTTATTCTGTACTATTTCTGGTGTTAATGACAAAAACACTTCCATGTGCTTCTTCAGCGCCAATACACAGAGAAGCTGATTGGTCGAGATGGATCTTCCCAAATACCTTTCTAAATAGTGGAATCCTATTGGACAATCAGTGAGAATAGGCTCCGCCTCTAAACATATGTGGGACAGCACTCAAAACACTTACCAGAAGCATCCAATACTATGTTCATATACACAAATCTACATCATTCGCATGAACAACAACATGTATTAATATCTAATAATGATATTTTAATGAAACATCATCAGAGGAACGTTGTTTAATTTCGCTCGCCGTATCTCTTGTTAGCATTATGCTAACTAGGCCTAAATACATCCTTTTGAATACGAAATCACACGATAAATCGCATCTAAACACAAATCCTGGTTTATTTTCACTTGTTTTGTACAATTCAACAGGACTGACCTGGTTCTGGACCGGCTCGTTCTCCCGGCTCGGTGTCTCCGGAGCGGCTCGGCGGCGGCGAATCGGTGTCGTTGTGTTTTCGTTTAAAACAGTTCTCGAGCGAAGCCTCATTTTCCTTTAATCCTGATTTAAAAAGACCGGATAAACAGACACGGAGACTTCAAACTCTCAGGGAAACCGTAAAATTACAAGAATCGCATCAATCTCCATGAATTAAATCATCAGTTTGATCTCGCCGTTTTCACTTCCAGACAGCCTGACAGCCTGACCCCAGTTTAAACTGAATCAAACGTAAGCGAGCTTTAGCCAATCAGAACATAAACCCGAAGCGATGGGCGGAGCTCTAAAAGACAACGGCGCAACGTGATGCGGAAGTCACATTGACAGGATTGTTTTTTTTCTTTAAATAATGGCCAAAAATTATATTAATACCCCCGAAAAAGTATATACGACATATAAAATATTCATAATTATAAAATAGGCAATACAGCTACTAGCAGAGAAGTAACACATTAATAACAATTTAAAGTTCATAAATAAAAAGAGAGAGAGAGAGAGAGATCAAGATTATTAAATATGAATCATTGTAAATATACTGATTGATATAACTGTTTTATCCATAAATGTTGATTGCTTTATGTAGTTTATTCTGACTTATTTTTATTGATTTTTTTCATTTGTTTTTATTATTATTATTAAATGTATTTATTTATTATCTTTTTACTACTTACGTTAATACTAATGCTATTTACTGTGTTTTTAAACATGAATATATTTTCAAACTATGACATTTCAATTCCTTTATATTCGAAGCCTTTATGAAGCATGTCACATTTAATGAGATATGGTAAACAACAACAAAAAAACAATATCAAAGCAGTATTGTATTAGAACAAACAAACAAAAAATCATGTTTGTTGATTGCAGTGGTTCTGTTTCTTAAAATGACAGTGGCCGCCAATCGTATCTGGATGCAGCCTTTATAATGCAAACTGAGACTGCATCACTCAGCGATGCAATGTCAGACACAATGCACTCAAATGGAGCTAGTGACGTCACTGTGACGGATAGGGTTAGGTGACGTGAGCCCATTAAAAAGCATTGGATGCAGCCAAGATTGCACTGCATCAGGTCTGCAGCCAGACCCTTCTCGTGGCCGCTGGTATTTTGCCTGCCTGTTGTTCTTTGCTAAGCCAGTAGGCTATATACTATACTTCTGCGCGCTGTCTCTGTCGGTCTGTATTAACACTTCCGAAACGCTAGTTGGCAGTGAGGTGTAAATATTCCTCTGTGTCGAGTTTCTTCTCTGCTTTTTAGTTTTTCCTGAACACTTCCGGGATGTACAAGTGGCTCAAACTCGCTCATTTTGAGGCAGGAACCGGCGAACGTGCAGCAACTTTAACTATGAGGTAAACACAAAACAAAACTTTCCATCCGGAGCTCCTTCACGGGACTCCACACTTGTAAACAATCGTTCGCGCCATTCGCGCGGCTCTCGGTCCCGCCCAGACTCGTCAGCGCTACCAAGCCGACCAATCACAGAGCTTACGCTATGCGTCGTTGCGACGTGTAGTTACATTTTTTGAGAGGTGCACGTCAGCGACGGCGACGGCCACGGCGAAGGGCTGTGCGTCAGCGCCGTAGCATACGCCGACGTTTGACGCAGAAGTATAAATCAGCCTTTACTCCCACCTCTGCTAAACGCACTGTTACTTTGCAATATATATATACACACACACTGAAGTCTAAAAGTCTAATCAAAGTTCTGAAAGGAGTCAAGATAAAAAGAAACGTCACAAAAATAACATGAGAATTATACTTTATTGTATTCAATGTTTAAGTTTACAGCTGAAGATTTGTGAAAAATCAAACATTGAAAAATATGATACTTGACAATTATAAAATGTAAACGTCGAGCGTACATTTCGCAAACTCTGAAACGACAAACTTAACATGAAATTTCTCTTTCTGTTTTTTTTGTTTTGTTTTTTGTTTTTTAAACACAACAGAAAACACCCAAACTGAAGCGTCGAACAACATATAAAAAGGCAAATAACTTCGGTTAAAAAGTCAAAATTCAATTTCATCCGTGCTGAGGTGTGTCATTTTATCCTACCATACGGGTTTTCAGCACTCAGACTGAGAGGTACAGTTGTTGTGTGAAGATTTCCTAAAATATAAAGTATCTTGAATCCATCATTTTCCATTCATAACAGCACTTGTGTGACATTCTTTGGATCCCCTAAATCCCCCTAGTTACATATTGATATATTCATGTTCGAAATAAAGTGAATTATTCACACAAACAGAGATTAGATTAAATAGGTTAGGATTGTCTTTGTCCTTCACCCCTAATAATAGAAGCGATCATCAAGAGGTTGACACAACACAGTTCAATAGCTTTTAAAAAAAACGTACAAACAAGTGGAAATGCACTGAATGCATCAGCGCTACAACAAAAGCTGGAGCTATTTAGATTCGAACCAAGCCAAAACTCAAAAGCACTCACATAAGGAAGGGTTACTGAGATACAAAAACAAAACACTTGCATCCTTGAGTCAGTGTGCCAAACGAAACATTTAGCATTAGCACTACAAAAGGGCTTTCATGCACTGTGACCACAGCACTAAGATGATGAACTTATCTGTATGACTAGAGGTAGAACTGCATTTCCTGAGTAGACAACAAATGCCTATTTTAACGTAAAACCTAGATTTCACAGCTGTCTATGTATTGAAAAATGAATGTCTTGATTTGTTTTAGTGTAACATTAAGTTCTGCACAGAGGAAAAAGCAAAACAATTACAACGACTAAGGCATCCTGCAATAATAGCGAGAGTTTATTGTCCAGCAATTTTGGTTGTCCTTGCAATAAAGCGGACTACATTTGCATGGTAGATTTTCGAAATTTGCATATTTAAAGGCATAAATCAGAGTAAAAACAGATCTGACATCCCACTTGTGGACACCAGCATCTTTAAAGCGGCGGTATGCACATCCGTCTTACTCTGTGTGGTAACAGTATTGTTTCCAAGAAAAAACAACAACATTAGAACGCGAAGCATAAGGCCATTATGATTAGAAGCTATTGTCACATGACAATGATCACTTAAAGGTTAAAGAGTTTGATTGTAAAAATCAATCAGCGATGAAAACGAGAGGAAAAACAGCATTGAAGAATAAGAGGATGATCCTAATGTGGCATTTTACAAAAATCAGATGTACATCAGTATTTACAGCCTTTGCCGTGAAGCTCTGAACTGAGCTCAGGTATGTTCTGTTTCCACTGGTCATTCTTGAGATGTTTCAGCAGCTTAATTGGAGTTCACCTGTGGTCAATTCAGCTGATTAGACCTGACTTGAAAAGGCATACACCTGTCTATATACGGTCCAAGGGTTGACAGTGCATGTCAAAGCACAAACCAAGCATGAAGACAAAGGAATTGTCTGTAGACCCCAGAGACAGTATTGTCTCGAGGCACAAGGCTGGGAAAGGCTACAGAAAAAAATCTGCTGCTCTGAAAGTTCCAATGAGCACAGCGGCCTCCATCATGCATTAGTGGAAGATGTTTGGAACCATCCAAGACTCTTCCTAGAGCTAGCCGCCATCTAAGCTGAGTGATCGGGGGAGAAGGGCCTTAGTCAGAGAGGTGATTAATAAGCCGATGGTCACTCTGTCTGAGCTCCAGTGTTCTTCTGTGGAGAGAGGAGAACCTTTCAGAAGGAAAACCATCTGTGCAGCAATCCACCAATCAGGCCTGTATGGTAGAGTGGCCAGACGGAAGACACTCCCTGCCTGGAATTTGCCAAAAGGCATCTGAAGGACTCTCAGACCATAAGAAACTAGATTCTCTGGTCTGATGAGACTAAGATTGAACTCTTTGGAGTGAATGCCAGGCGTTACGTTTGGAGAAAAGCAAGCAGCGCTCATCACCAGGCTAATACTATCCCTATGGTGGCAGCATCTTGCTGTGGGGATGTTTTTCAGCAGCAGGGACTGGAAGACTAGTCAGGATTGAGGGAAAGATGAATGCAGCAATGTACAGAGACATCCTGAATGAAAGCCTGCTTCAGAGTGCTCTTGACCTCAGACTGGGGCGACGGTTCATCTTCCAGCAGGACAATGACCCAAAGCACACCGCCAAAATATTAATAAAGTGGCTTCACAAAAACTCAGTGAATGTCCTTGAGTGGCCCAGCCAGAGCCCAGATCTAAATCCTATTGAACATCTCTGGAGAGATCTGAAAATGGCTCTACACCATCGCTTCCCACCCAACCTGATAGAGCTTGAGAGGTACTGCAAAGAGGAATGGGGAAAAAATTCCCAAAGACAGGTGTGCCAAGCTTGTGGCGTCATATTGAAAAAGACTTGAGGCTGTAATTGCTGCCAAAGGTGCATCAACAAAGTATTGAGCAAAGGCTGTGAAAACGTATGTACATGAGATTTGTCAGCTTTTTTATTGTTAATAAATTTGCAACAATTCCCAAAGAATCTTTTTTCACATTGTCATTATGGGGTATTGTGTGTAGAAGTATAAGGAAATAAATGAGTTTAATCCATTTTGGAGGCTGTAACATAAAAAAATGTGGAAACCGTGAAGCGCTATCAATACTTTCCAGATGCACTGTACATGTTGTCTCTTAGAGCTGGTAGATTCATGTAAAGTGGAGAAAAAACCCTGCATATGTTTCTTAGCTAGTAAATGTGTCTGAGGTAGAGGTTCTGGCAGTTAAGACCGAGGCTGTGTTATAATGAGGAGTCCTTAATATGTACAGTTACAATAAAGACCGAAACGGTAACAAGACTTCCTATGCTGCTTCTTGCACAGATCCGGGGTCCTTATAAATAAAGGATTGTATTCATTAGCGTAAAAAATTATAATAGGTGAGGTGGTAGGTTGACAGTGAAGGATCTGAGCTGTCAAAGCAATGGCCATGAGTTTAATCCGAAATAATGGAGCGAGGCTTAAGTGACATTGCTTTTCCAAAGCCTGGACCACCTCACCCGCTATGCCCAGCTAACTTGAAATGGCAATTATTCAGCTTTACATAAGGAAAGGAGGAGCTAGATGATCCGGTTTGTGTTTCTCAAAAGAAAAAAAATGATCCCTGGATGCCCTTAAAGTCAGTATTTGACCTTGAATACAGTGTGATGCTAGAAGAGCAAGTTTCAGCTACATGTTGATGAGGACAGGACAAGCTCACTGTTCTTACTCACTGATTTGAGAATTAAAAAAACTTAGAAGGATGTGATCTAATATCTCTAAACAACTGAATCCACATCCTTCAAATCCC